CATATCTGCAAATAAGGGTTTGGATGTACTAGACTTATATATTTCTATTTGACTAATGGAATTTTAGATTAAACTACTAAAAAAATTAAGGTTAAAAAAAATCTAATATATTTAAAGATTATATTTTTTTAACTATAATAATATTAAAATAATCAAATTAAAAGAGATCTTATCACATTAAATATTATTATACTATTATGATCTTTAATTGCTACATCTAAATGAATAGTTTCACAGATAACATCTGTAGAAGTCAAAAAACAATCATATATGACTTCTACATATATGGATTTAGTTTTCTTGATTAATGATATCTCTTTTTTTTTTATAAAGTCTTTATCAATAAAAGAAGCTAAATTTTTTGTATTTAATAATATAAAACTTTGTGATTTTTAGGTCTTAAAAATACATCTATTATAAAAAAAGATGAAAGATTTAAAGAGAGAATATGACCTTTATTAGGTATTGCACATGATTCTAGTTGCATGGTTTCTATTGAAATTGAAAAAGCTTGTTTTTCATCATATTGTCTTCTTTGGAAACCATGTTCCTCATTTTGTAATTATGTTGCCTCTTTGATTAATATTAAGCAATATATTTAGATTCTCTATAATATAACCATACCCTTCTTGATGATGACAAGTCTTATCTCACTCAGTAATAGATTTAAAACATATTGTAACAATTTATATAGGCTCTAGCCTAGATAAGTAAGTTTCTAAAAACTTAGAAGATACTGCTATGGCTTGACTTGTAATTCTTCAATCAAATCTTTGTTCTATGTGTCTTTTAAAGAATCAATTATTGCATGCAATGACTTGAGCAATAAATTGCTCTAATAAATATATTATCAACATTGTCAACAATAAATCTCTAACATTATCTTTTAACTCATATTGAAACTGATTGATAAAGGCTTTATCATTCCAATCCATGTTCCAAGCAAGATTTTGGAATTTAGGAATATATGTGGTGGCTAAACATGATCTTTATTGTAGTAATACAAGCTTGGTCTCTACTATTCTTTTTCAATCACTTTTTCAAATGTAGCCATAAATAATTTTAAAAATAAATTTAAATCATAGAATAGTTGTGAATCTTTTTCCATCCAATGTGCAAACCAAAAGAGAGCACTTCTTAATAAAAGTGCATCTATAAATTCAACTTGATTAAATCTATTGAGGTATTGGAAATGATGCAACCTCAAATAGAGCTTAACTTATTGTAAAAATCCTCAAAAAAAAATTCCATCAAACTTCTTAGGTATATCAATCATTTCTTCTTTTGTACTTGTAGAAGCGAGATGTGTTAGATTTGGTTGTAAGGCTGATCTATTTTCTTCCTTCAATTGTATAACTTTTTAGTATAGACTTTGAACTTCTTTCATATATGTAGCAATAGTACCTCTATGATTCACATAAAAAATACATGAGATTTCTAATCTTAGAATGTTGACAAACTCGTGAATATCAATATTAGTTACAAATCTATTCTCACTTTTGATGAGAGTAGCATCTATAAACTTTCCTTTCATAAACAATTCAAATAACTTCAAAAAGTTAAAATAGAGTAAGATAATTTGTAACCTCTCATATCAAATAAAAAATTTCATAAAGAGGAGTAATCCACTCTCTTTAAGAAAAAAAAATGAGTATTAAAAGATGGATAGTCCGTAAACTTCAAAATATAATAATAGAAGTGAAGTAATTCATTCACTTCTAAAATAAGATAAGAACAATAAATTATCATTCTTATTGGACTATCAAGGACATAAACCTCAAAAAACTAAAAAGTCAAAATACTCTTGTGTCTCTCAAAAATACTAGAAAATCACTCAAAGATAATATAGTATTAAACTAAAATGGCTATTGTCAAAGATTAGAAGATTAAAAAGTCTTGAAACAAGAATAAGGACTAGAAAGGTATTAACAAGAATAAAAAAGGCTTTATTCTTGCTTCCAAATATACTCTCTATTATGAGCTATGTGGTGATATGCTATTGGACCTCCAATACATGTTGACTTTGGTAGATACATATTTTAACTTGTAAGGCAAGTTATCTATATAAAGGCCACATAGTTAACTTGTTCCACAAGCCATTAACATGTGACATACATGGCTAATTTGTTAACCAAGTTTCTAGCCTATCAATTAACTACAAACACTTGTAAAGTCAAAGAAGTGTCTATGAAGCTTATACAAAGCTTTTCTAGAAGATATTATGAAATTAATCTATATTTATCTACTTTCATCTAATCATATAAGTAATTATTAGAATAAATACATATGTTCGTAATACATATATAAAAATAAGGTATAAATATAGAATAAAATAAAATTTGTGATTTATTTATTTAAAAATCTCAATAAATAGATCTTATAAAATAAATTTTTATGCTTTGTGATATATGTATATATATATATATATATATATATACACTATTTATTCTTTTTATGAATAAATCAGTTTTTCATTACTTAAGCAATGAAAAGACATTGTGAATGCTGAGAATTATACCTTTCAATTATAATTTAATATATATATATATATATATATATCTATATCTATCTGTAAGTATCTACATATAAACATGTATACTCAAAACTAATCAGATGTTTTAAATTAGGATTACATAAGTTTTTATTTAATCTTTCATAATTTTTTATATTTACATGAAATCAACATTAGATGGTTTGAATATTGTCAATGCTGTGTAGATTTGAAATATGGAAGATACCATAAAATGTGTAATATAATGTGTTTTATAATATAGTGAGTGAAATATCCCATTCTATTATAAGATATATATATATATATATATATATATATATATTCCCATTCTATATTCCTACTACAAATTTGTACAATTTTTTTTACTCTACAATAATTCCTGGAGTAAGATGAAATATATAATATCTTGAAACAGATGATTCAAATTGCTCTCAAAACAATCGAATGAATGAACAAATTATCAGTAAAAAGGACCAAGTAACACACAATGACAGACTTTTAATTATTCATGTTTGACATCCATAACTTGCCTCACCTGAAACAACACATTAATATCCCAACAGCCATTCATTGTAAAAACGATCCAATTTTATTCTGAAGGATATTGAAGGTATTTTCAAGCATCTTCTACTACTAAACTTCATTTCTCATGGTAGAGACCCACTCATCAACTTCTAGTTAATTATATTCCAATCCCCACACAACCTTTTCCAACCCCAAAAACCCATTTCATAACCACAATTTTCACTTGTCAAATAGCCCTCCAAAGTCCTACGCATACACAAAAACGCATGACCTAACCCTAACCCTAATTCATGCTCTCCATGCTCCTAGTTCAAAGCTCCGTGATTAAACAAAGTTTTTGGGTCTTGTTGAATGACCATTCCAGTGTTGTAGAAGGCCTTGGAAATAGCGTGGGTCCTAGTAGGTACATCTGTCCACATTCGAATTCAATGTCATCTCAATTTGACTCCTTTTTTTATACACTAAAAAGATGCCTTTGAATTGATCAATTACGTGGGTTTCTGAGTTCGTTCCCTCGGAACTTCCCAGCCCGCCACAGATTTTTTATTTTTTTTGGGTTGGAGACTGAGCAATGGCCCGACATCTTCGTGTTTTTTGTACTTTTTTGCATTTTGTTTATATTTTTATCACGGGGCATTTCTTCCGGCAGTAATGACGTTCACAATCACGCCAAAAAAACAGCAACAGAATCTGCTTCTAATTTGTCTGTATGGCTTGCGAGCAGGACACCGTCGAATCGCGGAGAGCGTGGCAGCAGGTACAGGATTTGAGAAGAAGAAAAAAAAATCTGTCAGGCGGGTTTGATTATCACTGCAGAGGAATCGTCGCCCCCAATCCTTGAAGATTGTTTCACCAGAAGAGCTGCCTGTCAAATTCACCGACTCTCTGCACTAACCTGTCTGCACCAGGAGCTCCCACTTGCTCCAAACTTTCCCTGTTTATGGTGGATTGTCTTCAGCTCGCAACACTGTTTGTTCCTCGACTTCCATTGGGAGGGTGGAATCCGACAGTGGTGTGGTCCTCGCCGATTGGGATCCGTGTAAAGAAAGCAAATGCGGCAACTTCGCTTCGAGGACAGTGGAGGAGCAGGGAATCGATCAACTTGTGGGTAAATCTAGAAAACAGGAAGGTCGATCTCTTCAGCTGTTCTCCTCATGGACTAGAGGAACACGATGCCCACGGTAACGCAGTGTTTTGGGTGAATGCTGTGACGAAGCTCGAGTTTTTGGCACTCTTCCAGTCCTTGAAGATAATCCGTGTTTCTCTTATTTAGGGGTAATTTGGTTGGATAGACAGCTTGATTGATTCACAATTCAACAACCCAAAACACATTCATTTCGAAAGGGCACAAGAGTCTTGTATCCTTGTGATCTTCTCGCACTCTCTCGAAGTGGAGCATTGAATTTGTCGGAAACTCGTGACCATATTTGGACGGCGATTTTCTGATATTTGACACTGTTCCAGATTCCGATTATCGGCGCATTGTGGTGCTATGAGTGTGGGCTTTGTCAAAAACATCGGTAGTCTTTTTAGTATTTACCTGTGTTAAAAACCATGAGAATTCTTGATTCTGAACCAAGCATGACCCACAAATCCGCCAAGAGACGATCTTCCGGCAGCAACACGATACCCATTTCCCATGTCTGTAATGGGTTCACACATTAGTCATGCCTGGCTGTTAAAAAAATGATTTTAATATACTAAGCTCTCAACGAGACATTTTTCATTTAAATAAATAGATAAAACAAATATGTCACAAAAAAATAAGAAAGCAACTCCTCAATCAATGACACCCGCATCAATAATCGTCAGCTATACCAGCTCACAGTCGGCTCCTAGTCTGATAGAGGAGACCAGAGGTCGCGGAATGACAGAATACGCCCACCCGAAGGTCGCAAGTGGGTCCTCACTCGCCTGACTTCGAATGAAAAGATGCCGATCTGAGTGGGGCTGGGGCTGTATTCTCGGATGCGACCCTCTCCAGACAGACAAGTAGCTTTTTCTCTGACAAACTACGGTCGCCGATGCCGAACGATGCTCGTCGCCATTACAGCGCGCATCTGTCTGCTCACATTATTCGTCGCTCGGGTAGTTGGGTCTTTGTTTGGAGGATTGGGTGGGAAGGATTGATATGCTGTAGTTGCTTACTTACTTACTTCAGTCTCTAGTAGCCTTGGAGCGGGTCTGCAGAGGTGTGTTTGATCATTAGCTTAAATGCGAGGGAGTTCGTCGCAGGCGGGAACTAGAATGTCTTCGGAAGGTTGTGGCAACGGTAGTAAAGTGAGAGACAGGAAAATGAGGCGGAAGGAAGAAGAAGCAGGCGAGGTTGAAGACGAGAAGCAGAGCCTGCTCGTGGTCTTTCCCCGACACTTAGAGTAGCGCTACGTGAGATTGGGAGAACAGTCCGTTCCTGACATGCAACGTAGGTACATTTTCAGGCTTTCAGGTGTATTTCTGTTTTTTTTCCTGTTTCGAGGTTGCAGGGGTTATGTTACTGCGTTGCTAGGAATTTGTGTGCAAATTGGATGGCATCTCGCATTTCTGAGGTTCTGAGGAGTTCGCCTAGTGGAACTCCTGGAATCGTTTGACATTGCGTACTGAAATTGATTCTGTTGTGGAGTTTTTAGTCTCCCATTTACTGGAGGTTTTGAGTCGTGTGCGTCGAATTGTAATTGTCACTAGTTCGCAATACTGAGTGGTAACGTGTCTTACCGTTCAAAGTGTTGCTAGTGGTGCACTGGAATGAAAGTGTGCCTGAACTTTCCGTAATGATGGGAGGCTGGAGAGCAGGTTCAGATGCTTTTTAGGTATGTTGCTGAAGTAGCAGATACTTCTGTGGTTTCTGTTTTAGTGTAACCTGAGATGTTTCTGCGAATCGCCTAGATCGGAGGAGAGACTTTTTCGAATGGATATAAACTCTCTATTCACTGTGTTGTATTTATCGTTCACCTTCGTAACTTTGCTGTAGAATCATGTCTTTGGGTAGTCCTCTTATCAGCCTTCTTCTTGTGTTACTATGCAGTTCCTCATACAGAAAATGACAAACTTGCCAAGACTTGGTATGCGCATGCTTCTACCTCTCTTTTCCTGGGCTAGACATCCGCATGTACCAAGTGGCGGTCTCCTGCATGTGGAAGTTATGTCTGCACACAAGAACTTCTCTAATGCCGCTACAGAACTTACAATTTTGAAGAACGAAAATCCGCATGAACTATCCTACACCAGCCTGCGAGACCTGCTGTCGAGCGATCGCCATACCTGTCTCATCAAACCGCAGAGGGAGTGCGAAGGTGAACATAAGGAATTAGAAGACGAGCGCCCTGTGATCAAAAATCGTCTTGTGGAGCTGGCCGCTCGCGCCTACCTCCTACCTTCACACGCACAGGCAACCCCTGCAAACCAGTTCTTCTCGCGTCAATGGGCCAGGTTCACTAGGACTTGGCTCCAAAGCCACCACTCCAGCATCACCTTGCACTCATTCTCTGAGGCCGACTCCTGCCTTCCTGGTCCACTCTGGGTGGAAATCACCCGCGCCATCTGCTCCTTGTTCAATCTTAACCAATTCCGGCCGCAATCTGTTCTGCAGCTCTAATCAGACGACACATCCAGAAAGAATCGGTTATTTATGATTATCGTTACCAGGCGAAACCTGCTAAAATCTCTAGATCATATAATATGGACATCTTCATTGTCGAAGCAACGTGCAGGTACTGGTGTTGAAAGGGTTGTGGAGAAGTGGAATTTAAGGAAGATCGGATTCTTCTCAAAGAAACTCAGAGAATTAACTGTGAGGGCTTTCGACTTCGAAGAATTCATTTGTCGTCGAATTTCGAACTGGTCACTGCCGCAAGAGTGTTTACCTCAGATAAAAACTTCCTCTACAGGATCTAGGGAAGGAGGAAACTATTACACAGTGAATCTTGTCTCGATGAATTGTACGTGAGTACTTTTAATCTTCGTTTATCTTTTCATTTCTTAACTTTATTTGTGTGTCGAGTATGCGCGTGTGTACAATGTTTTAGCATTGACATACTTTTCCAGCAGTTGTGCGACGTAAAATATGCCCAGATGCATTTTTCATTTCTGCTGGTGTACAGTTTTATCACATCCTTTTGGCTGATGAAATTGAGGCATGAACCTGGCAGTGATCTGTATACATGCCAAAAAAACGGCCTTGATTGCTAGAGAAGTGTACCTCCTCCTATCAGTCTCACTTGGCAGGGATTTAGTCGGATACAGCACTGTTGAAGTTCCAATAAATTTTTCACAGTAGTTCTTTCTCTACTGTATTTTATAAATTTGATGGAGTGTTCTGCGCGCACTAGAGCCCTCACATGAGTGTATGATGGCTATGTGGTATTTTCCTTTTAAGCAGTTCCCTTTTTACTTCCAGTTCTCCTATTCTCAGTAGCCACTGCATTATCTTAGGAGCTAGCAGTAGATTGACCAATGCCAGGCTTATGAATGAATTTTTGGTTACTTCTTAATGATGCTGCACTGATTCTCTATTCCTGGAGTAAGAACAGAATGTGCAAATGTAAATGTAGGGAAGCGAGAAGCAATTATCCTTTTCCATACTCGGGAACGATTAGTCACTTGCAAGTTCAAACCTTAATACTGTTCACCAGAACTGCAGGAACAGCTTGAACATTTCGTTTTCTGCGGAGGCTTATTGTAGCTCTGCACAAATTAAGTGCAACCCACAAGTCTCCCGAAGTGGGTCATTACTGTTTTTATTTATGAACTAGCCAGTTGTATCAGGTCGCGAAAGCCTAGAAATAAATCTAGTTGCCCCACAAACTCACCGTCTGCGACAATTCTTCTAACTCGATGGAGACAGATCACCAATTACTCACAGCTACTCTCTCTAAACACATCAGGAGACATGCTCTCGGAAGTGGGGACTTCACCAACTCATTGGAGATTGGGTCAGCGCCAGAGCAAAAGCTATATCTTCACTCTATTCCAATGACCCAAGTCGATATATTTTCCTGCATTGTTCACATCCGAAGACGGCATAGCAGCCTTCTCGTTTGAGCAAGTCGTGGAAATTTGCACAACAATGAATTGCAGGAGCGGAAATAACTTGCTTTAAATTAATATGAATTTTATCTAAACTCTCTCTCTCTCTATATATATATATAGTAGTATGTTTAATAAATTGAATTCAATTGATACTTTAAGTTTTTATTTTTGAAATATTCAGTTACACGTATGGTGAATGTTTTCTTAAATTTTAATTAGATTTTTATGCTCAAGTAATGTTATAATTAAAAATTAAGAAAATCTATAAACTTCAACAAATTCTAAGAGTAAACTTAACTGAATTGTATTAATACTGACTTATAATACTAATGTAATTTTTAATTTTTAATTTTTTTTTTATCTTCATTGAAGTCACAAGTTGAAAGCAATTTGTACAGATATCATTAATGATTTCTCATACAATTTGTAAAAATTGAATCAACTTCTAATAATCACTAATAATAATTCAAAATTCTAATTATCATAAATTTTTTTAAATATATTGTTTATTAGTAAATCAACTTTTTTTTATAGGACTTCAAAAAATTTAGATGTATGTATTGTGCATTAATTAGATATGACGTTAATTAAGTTAAATCAAAAGTAATTCTAAAATTTGAGGATATTTAGATGTATATAGCTTTGCAAAATTGGGGATAGATATTGATCTTTGAAAAAGAAAAGATAGAAAACAAGCTAATCAAAAAATAACTAATATTTAAATTAATTAATTTTTATAAAAAAATAATTAATTCACTAATTTAATAATATATGTATTAAATTTAATTAATTTACTAATATATGTATTAAATTTAATTAATTTACTAATATATGTATTAAATTTAATTAATTTACTAATATATGTATTAAATTTAATTAATTTACTAATATATGTATTAAATTTAATTAATTTACTAATATATGTACTAATTATAATGGTATTGATTGTAGAATTTATAAGACAAAAGCAAAAGCAATATAAGAACATGTTAAGCAAGATAAGTAAATAGTTTATATATAGCAAGAAAGATGGAAGGACTCAACTAACTAATAAGTAGTGATTCTATAAAATTAATGAGGTTGTTGCAAATTCATCCTTTAAATTTAACAATCCACTATTTATATATAAATTAAAATATATCCCTTCAAACTTGTTTTGTTTTTTCAATTGCAATGTTAGTAATGGAACTAGGTCACTAAATTTTGTAGATAGAAGTTGTGGTGTTTTTAGATTGATAAATGTATATATAAAAAAAAATATAATTAGATGCATAAATCATAGAAATAAAATTATTTCTTATTTTAAAAATATATATCAACAAAAAAACTTCAATTTTTTTAGCATAGAAGAATATATATATTTTTGGTAATTTTACAGAATTGATACTATAATAATAAGATTGAATAGGTTTTCTTTGTGTAAATTACTTCAAATTATTGAATAATCTTTTAAGCCAATTACCTTTATTGAAATTACTAAATAAAAATACATAATTAAGTTTTATATATAACCATGCAGATTGACTTCCTATATTAATTATAAATGTAATATCGTACATAAGTTGGTATAAAAAATATTACTTTCATATTAGTCACTTATATATGATTGTATTGAATTTAGACACATATATATTTAATAATGATTATAATTTTTAAATTATAGAATAATAGATGTTTATGTAACTTAAGTAAAATAGAAGTAAATTTAAATAGTTATAAATATTATAAGTAAATAATATCTTCTTCCAAAAATATTGAGAAATTTTCTTAGACACAAGTTAGACCTTTAGATTCTTCTAAATATGTTAAATAGTAATTGAGACTTGTCTTGTAAGTTTTCTATTTTAAAATAAAAATCACATTAGAAATAATTTATAATTTAGATATTTTGGTATTAGGGACATAGTCCTTAGAACCTTCTAGAGACAAGTTTCTAGAACCTTCTAGAAGCAAGTCTCTGGAACCTTCTAGAAGCTTTTTAGTTAGTAGAAGATGTTAGGGACATAGTCCTTAGAACCTTCTAGAGACAAGTTTCTAGAATCTTCTAGAAGCAAGTCACCAGAACCTTCTAGAAGCTTCCTAGTTGGTAGAAGTTGCTTGAGAAGCTCCCTAAATAGGAGTATATATTGGAATCAAGGCTGAAGAGTTCTTCAGTCTCGACAACACATCTCTTGGAGCTCTAGCTCACCTCTCTGATGTTGTTCTTGTATTCATCTGATTAATCTAGTTCTTGCCAATTCTTCTTGAACTTCTTGTTAGATCTCGAGCCTATATTTCTGTGTCCGTTGTCGTATTACGTGCTTTCCTACTCGAGAACGCGTCGGGCATCTGGCTGTAGAAGGTAGTATGGAGATTCGCCAATATTCAAGCAGTTTATCGATTTTTGACTGTTGGAATATAAACAACTGCAAGAATACATCGTAAATCTATACGGATGCCCTTTGAATGCTTGTCGAAGTCCTTTTTGCCCCAGCCGGTAGGTCTCTAGATGTTACAGAGAATCTCGAACAATCCAAACTGCTAATCTTTGATACCGCTTTATACTCACGATCTTGTATCTACTGACTGTCTTGTTAGATTAACCCAATAAATTTCATTCACTCCGCATATGTAATCCTATAGACACCCTTTTAACTCCTCATCACAGACGTAACTTGATTTCACAAAACAGTCAAGAGTAATCAAACCCACTTCATTAAAAATCCCGATTCACCATTATAACACTGACTTCAGTAATGATTGCCTCAGTCTTCCTAAAATCCTATGAAGAAAAAGACCCAATTCTCTGTCTTTTTTCCCTGCCCGAAGCATGAAGCTAGCTCTCTCATTCTTCAAAAAACTCCCCAAAAACTTATTCTCTCTCCCTCTCATTTCTTAACCTTAATTCTGAATTTCTTCAATCCTCCGTCTTGGATCCGGAATTGGCTCCCACCGTCAGAGCTTGGATCCAAAATTGGCTCTCGCCGTCAGAGCTTTTTCCTCCGTTTTTACCTTTAAGAGATCCTTTTACCGAAAACAACGTTCCCTGAAACGGCAGAGAGAACAGGACAGCCTGAAACAGAATCGAAACCCCGTAATTGGGACTACATTGAGTCGCCCAACCAATTCAGGTCTCATATTGGCTAAGAGTCTAGTAGTAAGTCTCACCCATCGTGTGAATTGATCCTTTCTCTTCCTGCTGACTTCCGTTATTGGAATCGAATGGAGCATTTCAGTATGCCCCGGCTGACTGTAACGGGGTGACTGAACCTGGCCACTCAGTATTTACACTGGAATTGGTCATTGCTCCCAATATTCGAGGTAACTGAACATTAATAAAAGTCCCCTTTCTTTATATTTTCACGGTATACTCGTGTTACAACACGACATCCACCCCCTCTGAACTTGATCATCCTCCAGTATGCACCAATTTACCCAATTGCTGTTTGATTTAGAATATATCCTCTACGTCTTTGTCCAGTTCATCTTCGTCACCTTCATTATCCAAATCACTTTCATCTTCTTGCTGCGGAATCTCTATACCTTCATTAAGGTCTTCCATATTCATCTCCGTGTGTCTTCGTTTAAATATTTTTACTCGCTTCCTTGCAATTGGTATTTTCAATTTTGTACCATCTAACTCCCGTAATGAGTAAGTCGCATTATCATGAACAATTGTTACTACATATGGTCCAAACCAACGTTTTAAAAATTTCCGCAAAGTACTATGTTGATTATCCAGACTATTGTCATAAATAAGTACCCAGTCACCTTCTTCGATTGCTTTAGGTCTCAATCGATGTTGCTTATCAAATCGCGCCTTGTTTTGTAACCTTGCTCTTTTTAACCTTTTCAATGCTATCTGCACATCTTCCGAACTTTGCTCCAATTGTCGAATCCTAATAGCCAGAAGTTCTTCTCTTGTCAATCCATCTTCCCATGGTAGCATATTCTAAGTAAGTACCTTTTCTTCAATCGGCATAATTGGTTTTCGACCTGTCATAAGTTCTACTGGCATATATCCTGTCACCGAACTATATGTTGTTCGATCAACCCATAATACAAATGACAAAAGCCGTGGCCACTCTTTAACTTTCCCATTACAAGCTTTAACTAATGCTTTCACAATCGGTGGGTGACTGCATTCGCTTTTTGCATTCCCTTCTGGATTATAAGCAGTAGTCAGTGATAGTTTAACTCCACATCTTTCAAAGAACTTATGAGCTTCTTGTGCATTTAACTCTCCACGATTTGCAGTGATTTTTCCTACGCATCCGTAGCGGCAAATGACATCTTCAAGCAAAAACCTACAAATCC